TCATACTGCACAGCTGACAAGATGCATGACAAAGTGTTTGCTTTCATCGCTCAGAACCAGCAGAATGAGACGCTGGAGTGTCATGCATTCTTCTGTGCCAAACGGAAAGTGGTGAGTGTTTGATGCTTTCCTTATGAAAGCTGTGAATCTTCAGTCACCACAAAGACTTCTGACTGGAACAAAAGCAGTCAAACAAAGCATGAAGAAGGGGGACAGTTTTCCAGAATAGCTGACTAGATTACTTTGTGTCTGTTGAAGGACAGGCTGTTCTTCAAAGCATAGCACTTCATCCAAAAACATGTCTGTTTAAGGCTAGATGCTGAGGGTTAGATACAAAAGCTTTCCTAGTGAGCCGCCTACCTAGGCGACATCTGAAGGCACCATAAACTTTGTACTACTGATGCAAAGGCGGTTCAGAAAGCGGGGTAAATTCAGAGATACATTATTTTGACTTGAGTGTAAGGCAACATTGCATGTAATCTTCAGAGAACACACTTCCAGAATGCACTGTGACAAGCTTGGTGAAACAAGTCTGTGACTGAAGAGTTTGAGAAAATTGACAATTATAAATCTGTTTTGTTCAATACTGAAAAGTATTGATACAGAAGCAGGTCAACATAATTACTGACCATTTCTAAATCTAAGATTTTACCCAGTATTTGTGTGTGCAATGTATTTTTGCTTATTGAAATGCTGTGCTGTTATTTCAGATGTGATTTTGCAGACGTAAGGCAGCTTGCTAGGTTTCACAACATGCCTATTATATTTTATATGATATATTCAATATATTTCATAATATAATAAATTACATTGTATAAAAATATTATATTTAATATTTCCAGTATAATGTAATACATATAAAATGTATTACCTTATTTATTTACTTGTTTGTTAATTTGGCTCCAATAGTTACCATAATGTGTTTTATGCTCACTTGGTTTCTGAACAGAGCTTTTATGTTTATATATGATATATTCATAATATAATAAATATTTCTTTAGTAATTTTTAGGAAGGTGTACTCATTTTTGCAACACAACATTTTATCACTTTAATAAGAAAATGGTATTTTCTTGAATAATTTTAACATTCTTCTTTGGTAACTGATCAAGCAGACTTGCTGGAATATTATATCTCTAAAAAACCATAACATGTCTTCTAAGCAAAGAGTAATTGCTGAATTTAAGTTTCAGAGGGGGTGTAGTCCTTTATGCTGTGCACTGTATCTATCATGCTTGTCTTGAAGCTTGCCATGTGGAAATGTCCTTTTGATGCGGTTTTTGAGCCGTTTAAATGCTGTTTCTGCAGGTGGCTGAAAAAGAGGCTCTCCTATCCAGACAAGAGGAGGAGAAAGCAGAGCACAGGAGAAAAGCCAAGGCAGATAAAAAAGCCCAAAAGAAGAGCCAGAAAGCAAACAGAACGGGGGATAAACGGAAAGCTGAAGATGAGTACGAGGAGGAATGGGGAGAGGATGCAGGTATGGATGAAGTTGCATAATTCTGTTAGTTGTTTAAAAAAAAAATCTGTTTTTAGAGAAATTGGAAGTAATTTCCAAACAAGTGTGGTTTAGACTTCAGCTGTACTGACATATCAAATGTGTGCAGAGCTGCCGTCCAAGAGGCTCCGAGGGGAGGAAGGCTTTGGTAGCACAGCCACAGAGGAGCTCATGGAGACAGAAAGTGGTCTTTTCGGCCGCCGAGCTCCACCATCACGTAAATCTGAGCCACCCGGTTTCCGTAAGAACCAACAGGGACTGTCTGAAGCCCCGCGACAACCCCTGGACACGTCAAAGGAGCAGCGCAAAGATGAAGATAGTGTATTTGTCAGTAACTTGGCTTTTAATCTGGAGGACCCAGAGAACAAGCTGCGAACATTTTTTCAGGGTTGTGGGACTGTACAGCAGGTGCGGCCCGTGTTTACAGTGAAAGGTGCGTTTAGAGGCTATTGCTATGTGCAGTTTGAGGACAGACTGGCTGTATCCGAGGCACTGAAACTGGACAGGCAGGAGGTGGATGGGCGGCCCATATATGTGTCTCCTTGTGTGGACAAGAATAAGAATCCTGACTTCAAGGTATCTAGAAATGTATAGTACTCAATTTGTGATATAGTGTTTCTTGATGTTCAAGTGAACAATTTGTAGTACATTTCTTATTGGTTATTATTTTTAAAATGTGAATCATTTGTATAATGTGTCTTAGGTTTTTAAGTACAAAACAGCAGTGGAGAAGCACAAGATCTTTATCTCGGGCCTGCCGTACTCCTGCACTAAAGAGACACTGGAGGATCTCTGTAAACAGCACGGCACAGTGAAAGCCATCCGGCTCATCACCAACCGCTCCGGCAAACCCAAGGTGTGTGGTAGGCCTCTGTCAATAATCTAAATATACAGTAAGACTGTCCCAGTATCCTGCAGAATATAGTGCATATATAAAATGAATGTATACAGTCCATTACAATTACATTTGATCAAAAGTTACTGTAAAAAGGTGATAATTTTACAAAAGATTCTATTTCAAATAAATGCTTTTTTTTTTTTTTACTTCATCAAAGAATCCTGAAATGTTTCAACAATATATTAAGCTGCAAAAACTGTTAAAACTGGTAGTAATAATAATAATAATAACCATTATTAATAAGCGAGCACAAATAATAATTGAGCTGCAAATCAGCATATTAGCATGATTTCTGAAAGATCACGTGAAACTGAAGACCGTAGTAATGATGTTTAAAATTGAGCTTTGTCACCACAGGAATAAATAACTATTTTCTATTTCAATATATTTTTAAATTTAATTTCAAATTATAATATTTTGCAATATTACCGTTTTTACTGTATATTTGTACTGTAAATGCAGCCTTGGTGAGCATAAGAGACTTTTTAAGAGACAAATAAGAGACTTTTTAAAATCATAATGATTCTCTACTTTTGAAAGAACTGTAATTTTTGCTGGTCTTAATTCACCCTTCCACAAATGAAGGTCTTAAATAAGTTCAGAAATAGTCATGGCATTAAATGTTGTATGCACAGCCAAAAATGAATACCTTCCTCAGTATTTTTGTCGTCTTCAGTATTTTGTCCAATTCAAATATCTAACATCCTTAAATCAAGATACATTCTTTTGAGCTGCAAAATGAAGATATAAGTCTTGTTTTCTGAGAAACTGAACAAAATTGAATTAATACTTAAAACCATAATAAAGATCTGTCAATAGGGTATAAAAACCTTGTTTTCCATTTGAATTAAGTCGATTTTTCTGAGCCCAATGGCAGATTTTTGTTCTTGTTTTAATCATGAACTCATTTAATTTTTTTACGAATTTCTCATAAATCAAGACTTATTGTGTCATTTTAATTTCTCAAGTAAATGTATTTTGATTCAAGAATATTTTAGATATTTGCAGTGGAAAACCAGACAAAACTAATGAGGAAGAACAGCACATTTTCTGCAGTGAGATCAGAAAGAACAGTAAAAGGAGCAGAGCAATTCAAGACGAATTAAATAGTAATGGAGAATTATTTGGAAGTTTCAAACCTTGAAGTGTTGTTAATACAACTCATTGTCTGCTCGCTAGATGTTTACATTTAGAGAAGAACATATTGACTTTATAAAACTTGCTGAAACCCTGTATGTATAGTCATCTCCAAGCTAATTTTTTCATATAATATTCATATTCCTCTAGATGCATTACATGTCCAAAAGTTGAACCGATATTCCTATTTCGTATATTGTTGAGTGTTCACATTAATGCGTGTGTGCTCTGTAGGGTTTGGCGTATGTGGAATATGAGAACGAAGCGCAGGCCTCGCAGGCTGTGCTGAAGATGGACGGCACCATGTTGGAAAACTTCACACTCTCTGTTGCCATTAGCAACCCCCCGAGCAGGAAAATGGAAGATAAAGCAGCGCCTAGTCGAATCCTGGGGGCAGCGATGATGAGGCAACCTCAGGGAGCGTAAGTACATGATACGCCAGGTTAGCTGGTCATGTGTTGAATTACTGCTATGTGGATGTCAGTAATTATGGTGCGAAAATTTGTGGTCTTGGATGCGATGCCATGTCTCCAGAGGAAAGGAATTTATTGTCGAAATTTGCTCTAATATTCGATTTGGGAAAGTAAAAGAGGTTTCAGCTGCCCCTTACTATAAATTTAAGGGCTAAAGGATTAATTAAAATAAAATATAAATTGCAATACGGCTTATCAAAGGCTGCAATTTAATGAGATAAATATACATGCTGTGTGAATGAAGCTCAGGATGCGGTATATTCAGTGTCTCAGTGTGACTTGGTTTGCAGTAAATGCTGCTCCACACAAACTCATCTCTGTGTTTGTTGTGAGTTTGGGTCGATTATAACTAGGGCTGCAACAACTAATCGATAATTATCGATTATGAAAATCATCGACAACGATTCTCATTGTCGATTAATCGGGTCTGCCCACAGTGCGCGTCCAACGGAGTTTACATACTTGTCCAACTTCAGCCGGTCGCGTCAAATTAAAGCACTGAATTACTTATTTCTATGGACAAAATGCATCTAAAATAGTGGAGGAAACAGAATGAGATGCTGCAGGAGAGTTACGTGATCCAAGCTACCCAAAACATGAGAATTCTTTATTTTAAGCTTTAAGTTAATGCATTAGCGTAATGGCTTGCCCTGTCAGGCACTTTAACAGATGCGTGTGCGTCCTCACCGCAAAAAAACTTTGTTAACAGTCATATCCTTATGTATAAATGTCACAAATTCACGCGAGCATTTCCATTTTTGCATAAAGGTCCGTCCTGACCGTCTGTGTTAAAGTTTAATCTTTACTGAATGAGCGCCAGTGCGGCGGGCACGCGTGCACGCGCGTCAGACAGACGGAAAACAGAGACGATAAATAATCAGCGCAAAAACATTTATTGTGCTGAAATATCTGTTGTTGTTGTACTGGTGTTTACCAAAATCATTTTTTAGCTTTCTGTATGGGTTAGTCCTCCAATATGCATAAGCTCTTTAGTAACAGTAGTAGGCTGTTTCTAATGCTATAATATAATTATTGCTGTTATCTATGAAAGAAAGGCAGAGAGCTTTATAGTGTTTTTTTTCAGATACCCAATTGCAGTCAAAAAGTACTTAAACAATGCCAGCAAGAACTCGATTATCAAAATAATCGTTAGTTGCAGCCCTAATTATAACATGCATTGGGAAAACATGCACCAGCCGTTACACCAGATTTGTAATGAGATTTATAAACCTGAAACTTTGAGGGCTTCCCACGGTTTTACGCCAAAATGAAAGAATAAAAATAAAGAAATGAGGAGTTAAGTATTAATATTATAATTTACTATTATACTATAAAATAAAATTACTATTATGTTTCTTAGATATTCAGTTTATTTTACTGTGAAATAGTATTATATATTTTTCAGTTTAATAATATTTAATAATGTTACATTTTTGTACAATAAAGCAAAAAATTCTAGTTCTTAAGTTGCAATTGATTTATTAGATATACAAGTTTTTACAGCTTTCATAAATATTTCTTTGTTTAATGTTATGTTATGTTAATAATAATATTTAAATTAAATTATATACTAAATTTAGTCCTACAAAGCAAAAAATAAAAATCACATTTTTAAATCTGTTGATTTAGTAGATTCATATATATGTATATAAAAATAGCAATTACATTTTCCCACCCAAATTGTGCATTGTTTTTTTTTTTCCCATAGTTCTTGGTTGCTAAAAAACATCAGTTCTTTGTCGTTACACATTTTCATTTCTTTTTTTTTTCAGAAGAGGAAAAGGACGCACTCAGATCTCTCTGCTGCCACGCTCTCTGTACCGGCAGAGTGATCCAGATGCCAAAGCAGAGAACGGTACCGTTTCTGCACCACACGCCACAGTGACCGATGGAGTGCACGGAGGACCTGGAACCGCTAGCCTGGACACGCAAACCAAGTCTCTGTCCAACGAGGACTTTGCCAGGATGCTCCTCAAAAAGTGAAACTGTATTCAGAGAACACGAGAAGAATACCTGCCTTCTGACAGAAAGCCATGCCATGTCCTTATGAAGTCCGGTGGAGAAACAGCGTTTTAATTTAACCTGCTTTCTGTAAATACATGACCACTCCCGATATATAGGAAAACTATTTTAACACCTCAACCATGGAGATGCGAGCTGTATTGTTTTCTTTATTTCTTAGTAATAACGAACGGGATTTGGGGGCAGATTTCAGATTTTGTCTGCGAGTATTTTTTTAACAGGATGTTAAAACAAACGATGTGATGATCGTTGTTTTAAAAGGTATATGCAAGAACATTTAATATGAAGATAGATGATGTATTATAAATAGGTTTCAACTCGGCTTCATTTCTCAGTAGGTCTCTTTTGGGGCAGCTGAAATGTAGATGCGTCCTGCACCTCTGCCTTGTCAAAGGCAACAACAAAAAAAATAAAGATCAAAACCTTTATTTTACATATTTTCTGAACTGCATGTTGTATAAATAATTTATTTGCAGTACCACAACCATTTGAAACAGTCTTGCATGTGTAGATTTACAACTAATAAATAAACTGTCTTCATAAATGAAGACTAATGGAGTAATAGATGATCTTTACACACATCTGTGACTAAGAATTTCGACTTTTGTGTTTATTACACTGCAGCGCTTTAATTAAAAGCTGTACACTGTCCTGTCCTGGAGATGAGAAGATTCTAGTTTTGCCAGGCATTTTGTATTTTCTCCAAGCGCTGCCCTTTGAATCTTGTTTAATTGCTGACACAGCTTATAAACCTGCCTTACCTTGTGTGCTCAATAATGGTCTGAAGATTAAAGCTTGTGCTCCACAGCCAGATTCAATTCAACCTTCAGTCTAGAACTCCAGTTTTAGCTAATCTAGAACCTTAGATTCCACATGCGTTTGCGGTGATATGCGAGTCAAGGGCTGGCTGAGGAGCACAGTTGCTGCTTTAGAGCCGATTGGGTCCTTCCCGGAAGCTGAAGAATCTATGCAGCTGTATATCGCTAGAACCTTCCACTACGAGTTCACCTGATTGTGAACCCATCGCATACTGTATTGTGTGTGTGTATATATACACACACAACATATATCATGTAAAATGTCCTGGATATTAGTATTATTTACTGGTTTTAATGGCTATGATGGACTTGTGTATTTCATCCACTATTAAATGTTAAGCTGATCTATTTTTTTTAACTGCAGTGTCATACACTAGACAGTTCCCTCCCGTGTTCTTTTCATTGTGTTTGATTCTCGTTCACACCCCTCAATGGTTGGCCATAGTTTTGTAAAGCATTTGTATATTTTGAACTAAAAAAAAAAGAAAAGTAGCTCTATATATTTGTGTTTGATCACCACAGTGGCCTAAAGTAGTGATTGAGAAAAAAATAATAAAAAAACGTGCTGTTGCAATGGCTTGTTCAACATTAAAAATAATGAAAACATGGTATACATGTGGTAAATTGTGCACTTTTTCTTTATTTGGTTTATTGTATCAATTATTTGATTATAGATTGGCCATTTTTATTTACCACTGTCAGTGTCATCTTTTGGCACTCTTATAATTATTTCTAATAATGTTCCGGTTGTATTTCCTGTGTTGCTCAAATTATGTGTAGTCATATGGTTTTATTTTTCCTTTTAAAGCTTAAATTGTTTAATGAAGCAATTAAATGTATGTGGTTGTCAAATATGGCGTGCTCATTTGTGATATTTTCTCATTTTGTTTTAGCCATATTTTTGTTTTGATCTTTTGTCAAGGGTACAGCTGACATTTTCCATGTTTCACAACAGTGCCATTATCCTATGTGAAAAGATCCACCAAATACAAGGAAATGAGAAGTTGCACAATAATTTATTACAATAATAAAATAGCTTTTACGAGTAGTAAATAAATTAAAGCTATGTTTAAATAGATTAAAGTGCTTGAAAATAATGGCAAACTGAAAATCAAAAGACGTCAGTCAAAAAGTGTCAAAATAAAAGTTCCAAACATTAATGCAACTTTTCAACAATATTCCTCTAATCAATACATCTTCCTTAACATTTTGAACAGCTGTGGGTAATTATAATATTCCTTGCATCATACATCAGAATCATGGAACAATCATTATCATGAAAATAGACTTGAGTACCATCTCAAAATAAATGATTTTTTTTAAACTAAACTTTAAAGAACCTCAAAAAAAAAAAAAAAATCAGATTATATTCTAAGTAATGTTAAAGGTTAACTATTACTCAAACTGGCTTTGGCAGACATTAATTTTTGAACTTCTTTTTTTGCTGTAACCTGCCAGCTTGTAAGTGACAAATGTAACAAGCCGTTCACAAAATGCACTTCAGCTAGTAAAGCATCTGAAAAACATCACTAAAGAACTGCAATCTCTCACATTTAACAGACCTGTCCTTTTTCCAAGCAAACTTCAAAAGAGATTAACTCGAGCTTGCATTGAGACTAGAAAAAAGTGCACAAAAATATGAGTATGAATATTGTTCCCAGCAGACAGCAGTTCATTTATGCAACATTATCATTAAAATCATGGAACAATCATTATCATATGAAAATAGACTTGAGTACCATCTCAAAATAAATGATTTTTCTTAAACTAAACTTTAAAGAACCTCAAAAAAAATCAGATTATATTCTAAGTAATGTTAAAGGTTAACTATTACTCAAACTGGCTTTGGCAGACATTAATTTTTGAACTTCTTTTTTTGCTGTAACCTGCCAGCTTGTAAGTGACAAATGTAACAAGCCGTTCACAAAATGCACTTCAGCTAGTAAAGCATCTGAAAAACATCACTAAAGAACTGCAATCTCTCACATTTAACAGACCTGTCCTTTTTCCAAGCAAACTTCAAAAGAGATTAACTCGAGCTTGCATTGAGACTAGAAAAAAGTGCACAAAAATATGAGTATGAATATTGTTCCCAGCAGACAGCAGTTCATTTATGCAACATTATCATTAACTCACATGCAGAAGGATGTAGCTGCTGAAGATCTGACCTAATACTGTTCATTCAGTGAATAAGAAGAACTTTTCTTTCATTTCAAATTCAAAACGACAAAGTAGAGGCTAAAACGTGGACATTTCGAACAGTCAACAAAGGATTTGTAACGAATAAAGCTACACAGTAACTGCACAAACTTGAAATGGATCAACAGTTTATCCATGTAGGTCCCATGCTAGCAGTAGAAGGTCGGTACAGAGGCTGATATGGCACTTCAATTTATGCCACATGCAATCTTTTTCCACTTACCAATATACATCTATCAGCTATGCACAGGTATGGTGTGTTTACAGTCAGGACAGGCGTGATGACTAGCCCCGGGGAGCCCCACTGCATGCTCACTTGTGGCTATCAGTAGCGTATCAAGTGTAATTTCAGTGCATTTCGCGATAAAGCGAATAAAGGGCCTTACGTCGCCCTCGTTGGCAGTATCCAGGGCGGTGTAATACTCCATCCTCTGCTCTTTCCGAATGGTGATCGGCGGATAACTAGCTTGCATTAGGATTAAATTCATGAGCAGGCGAGACATCCGTCCGTTCCCATCCACGAACGGATGAACGTAAACCAGTTTATAGTGCGCGAGAGCTGCCAACTCCACCGGGTGGAGATGCAGCGCTTCCTCCGAGTTCAACCACTGCACCAGCTCCTGCATGTGCTTGTCCAAGTCCCGCGGATGCGGTGGGATGTGATGGCCCACGAACACCTGGCTGGCACGTAATCGTCCGGCTTCGACGGGATCGGCGTAGCCTAGGACCCGTCGGTGTATCTCTAGGATGTCATTTACAGTGATCGCTCCAGCGCGGGACAGAAGTGTGGTGTTGATGTACTTCATGGCCACGTCGACGCCAATTGCCTCGTTCTGTTCTTGAAGACTCTTTCCTGGAACGGCGTATCTGGTCTCAATAATGTGGCGAATCTCGGACAGCGTGAGCGTGTTGCCTTCAATAGCTACGGTGTGGTAAATATGATGGTAGTAGGTCTCCTCCATGACCCTGCGCAGAGCAGAGTTGCCTTTGGGTATGGACATGAGACGTCGCACCTTTCCATCGATGATTCCAAAGTGGCGCTGATCTATTTCCTCTACTAACGGGAGCGTGCGATCCCTGCTCACCAGAGCCTTCTCGTTGCAGGGCGAGATGGCGAGGGCCTTGGTGTACAGGTGGTCTGCTTGGACGACGTCTTTTTCCTCCTCCAGTATGGTTCCTAATTCAGTGAGCGCCTCCACAAACTCCGGGTTCATGTTGAGCGCGTGGACGAGCAGCTTATGAGCTTTCTCCCTCTTGCCATTTTTCCTCATCTCCAAAGCCTGCTGGAGAGCCGCCTTTGCCTCCAGCTGAGTCTCTGTAAACAAACAGATGGTCAGCGCTTCACAGTATGACATTCCAGCGGAGAGATGTATAATCAATAGACTTTAACACTTCAAAGTATGTTTCAGTTACTTTTCATAGTTTTATCTGTTTAATCTAAATGTCACAGTCTGTAAACCTGATTGCAATGAACTTCTAATGAGTTTTAGCGTCTGTTGAGATTTCAAGAAACCACAAATGTAATCATTTTAATTGTGTCCACAGAGGTGAATGAGATGAATATTAGGTTTGAAACAAATACATTTTAAAAAGAAATGCCATTTGTAAAACTTTTTAAATTTCATTATTGGACATGTATAACAAAACTAAAACAGAAAATTCATCAAGAAAAATAAGAGTGAGGGACTTGATTCATTGAGAATCGACTGAACCATAAAAAAAATAAAAAGCTGATGCATGTCTCAAAACAGACAAAACATATTCTGCTTTGAAACCGCACTAAAGTTGTAATTAGTCTGATTTAAATGATAATTACAAAATATCATATTTCCATAAGTGTGCTGAATTTAGTCAGAGTCAATATATGGAGGAGCTGTCATGGTTAAACTTCCAATTGTTTGGTATCTCTGAAAACCCCTGAATATGCTCTTTACCGTACATCCATATGGCATGTATGGTCGCAGAGAAATTTGCTAAAATATAGTGTCCTCTACAGATGACAAAATTCTACGTCTGGGTCCCAGGAGGATAAGATTAAGATATAAGATTATGAAGTCTAACATACTTAATTTAGAATAACATGCATCCAAAAATTTACTTTAGAAAGTAAACAGCCAATGTTGATTGAAGACACTCAAGCTACTCATCAACACAAAGTCAGCATCAGCTTCAACTGTACTGTACCTTTACTGGGCTTGACTTTCTGTGGCAGGAGGTCTAGTGCAGTGAAAGGGACCGTCAGGCTGGTGGTGTGCACCACAGGCCGCTGCACACCCCCCCACAGCTGGCAGCGCAGAAGAGCAAGACCCTTCAGTGTGGCACAGCATTGCTCCTCTATTCCTGCTAAAGGCAGCAGCAGAACAAATACAGACCCCAGCAGGCCGCACAGAACAGATCCCCAGCCCCAGAACAGAGGACCGCTGCAGGCATGACGGAAAACTGCCAGAGCTGCCATCAATCACACGATCCAGACTTCCACAGGACACGTGCCCAACATTCTTGCAAGACACTATCTGAAAACCAGTGTGAAATGTAAGAAAGAAGGTCAAGCATTAACATGTTAAATCAGGTTTGTTGTCATTTTCTCCAGTCTAATGTGAGCCAGGTGGCTCTTGGGAGTCTGACAGTTTATGAAATAGTCTTAAATCAAGTGATTTGTAACCACATTTACAGCCATGTCTCATGTTGACTCACAGTCTGAAGATGAGAGGAACATTTACTTCTGGTCAAACACAGTCGACATTTTTTAAACCACCTAAACCTGTATTTGATGAGTATAGCTGGCCTATATGCTGTAGCGAAACACAGTGACATTTAAGTATTTTTATAATTGTAATATTTAACACAATATATAAGTACTTCTAATATTGTAGAACAAGATATTTGTCCAGCTGATATCACCTTAGGTAACGTAGACAGTCCATGACTACAGCGCTTCATAACAAATCATGACACTATTCATACATTTCTATAGAAAAATGTTCACTAAACACTAAAACTGGCGGCAAGCTACGCGCTTTATTAAACAAGACGCAAAATTTCAGACACACCTTACCGGTTAATGAAGTGTTATTCTCGCTATAAATACTGGATATGATCAGAAATGTTAGCGTTAGCAACGTCAACTTCCGCCAAACGGAAATGGCCTACATGTAAGGATGATGTTGATTGGTTGAGTTTACTTAGTATGTGTTTAGTGATTGGTCAGATGTTTGCTACACACCCTCGAGCAGCAACATATTTTTCAGATCGTAGAACTACATGATTGGACAAGACGCTCAATAATAATAATAATAATAATCATTTTATAACTCTTTTGAAACTTGTATAATAATAATAATAATAATAATAATAAAAATACATTGAAATAAAACAGGAAACATGCACAAAAAAAACGGAGGAGGAGCGGAGATCACGCCTGAGGAATGTATGGGGTTAAAATATCAGACAAATATTGAGGGGCTAAACCATGCCTTAGAGGTAAGCATGAGAATTAATATCCACTCGAACAGTGACAGGGAGCCAGTGGGAGTGATGTAATCATTTGTATATGTATATAATGAAATTAAAGATACACATGAGTCACGCAGTTGTTTATTTATTTAACTACATGATTGGACAAGACGCTCAATAATAATAATAATAATAATCATTTTATAACTCTTTTGAAACTTGTATAATAATAATAATAATAATAATAATAATAAAAATACATTGAAATAAAACAGGAAACATGCACAAAAAAAACGGAGGAGGAGCGGAGATCACGCCTGAGGAATGTATGGGGTTAAAATATCAGACAAATATTGAGGGGCTAAACCATGCCTTAGAGGTAAGCATGAGAATTAATATCCACTCGAACAGTGACAGGGAGCCAGTGGGAGTGATGTAATCATTTGTATATGTATATAATGAAATTAAAGATACACATGAGTCACGCAGTTGTTTATTTATTTATTTATTTTTGAGAAAAAATTAATTGTCGTTGCTGTAGATCAATTTCATTATATTATTTTTTATTTTAATTAGAAGTCACGCCATGGCATTGGAAGTACAAACACTAGGAGTCAGTATTGCTTCAGTAATAAAATTAATCACTGTTCTTTTATTTCCTTCATTGAAAATCTTGGAAATCTTAGACTGAAGGAAGACATTGCCTTTATTACAAATACTGCATTTCAAACAAGGCCTTAGAAAATCGCTACCACATATACAGTTAACCTATGAATCCCTGTCTACAGATACAGATGTCAATTTTGATATTTTGTCCAAGTGAAGATGAAACAGTAATCCATTTCTTCTTTTATGCCTTCAGCATATATAAAACAAGTATACATTGATACAGTAACTTCAAACTAATAATTTATTCTAGTGTAATTTGTGCTGCCGTCTCATTAATACTTCTGAAAACGTTATTATGACATGTTTTGCTTTATTTATGAGGACTGTTTCACTGTTTCTGCACACCTGCACACACACATACACATCAAGAGATATTAAGGTGTGTGTGTGTGTGTGAGAGTGTTGTGGTCAAGGAGGTAATAACTGTGCAGAATGATTTATGACTCTATTTCCATTCTAAAGCTGGCCAGATGTTAATACTAAACACACTCAATTTTATACACACCAAGAGGAGAGAGACAGACTCCATCCATATTAATCATATCTTAGATCGAGTCACTAAACGTATTAAACATGGAATACAAATCATGTCCTTTACAGACTTGGATGCATATCTGCATAAAGCAACCTGTATAAAGGCATCTTAGAGACGCTATAATCATGTTTTCACTGAAATTACATTGGGAATAATCTCAATCATGGTTTCACATGAATTACTGAGGTCAGGCGGCCCACCTGCGGAACTAAAGCGTATGAATCACAGCATATAATGAGAGCAGTGTGCCTCATTCCTCTATAAAGCAATAAGCTTCAGGGCAGCAATGGGAACTCTCGAATACATATTGTTGTTGATGTTATTGTTTTTTTTTCTTCTACACTAACATTCCTGCCTCAGGCTTGGAGGATTTCAGGGCATCATACATTGCTTGTGTTACATTGCACATTATAAATCCAACAAATCATCACTGTAAACTTTGAGTAAACATATTCAAAACCTTCCCCACACCTCCACCTCCATAATTATTCATAAACTGGTTTGTGTGTGTGATCTGCTTGAATGAGTATGTTTTGTACAGTTCATAAGAGCGTGTAATCAAAGCTTTTAGTGATGGATGAGGCGAGGGGTTACCATGGAAATGCAGAGACGTGGAATATATGTCTATAGAGGAGGTCACAGAGAGGAAGGAATAGGAAAGCTCTGCCCTCTCTGTTTTCATAATTCACTCACCCTTCCATCCATTAAACCAATAAATTGATGTTTTTGTTTCTGTACAGATGTATGGTGACAGTAATGATATTTCTTAATTTATAAGCATGAATTTGATACTGCATGAATTTGCATATTTAACCTAATTTTCTGTTTTGCCTGGGAAATTGCTTTAATAAATGTTATTCATATTGTTTAGACGGATCCATTAAATATATTTAGACAATCTATGACCGTCAAGAGATACAGTGCTGCTTGAAAGTTTGTGAACCCTTTAGAATTTTCTATATTTCTGCATAAATATGACCCATAATTAGATTTTCACACAAGTCCTGAAAGTAGACAAAGAGAATCCAATCAAACAAAGGAGACAAAAATATATACTTTGTCATTTATTTATTGAGAAAAATGATCTGGTGTTAAATATTTGTGAGTGGCAAAAGTATGTGAATCTTTGCTTTCAGTATCTGGTGTGACCCCCTTTTGCAACAATAACTGCAGGTAATGTTTCTTGTAACTGCTGATCAGTCCTGCACAACATCTTGAAGGAGTTTTAGCCTATTCCTCAGTACAGAACCACTTCAACTCTGTGATGTTGGTGGGTTTCCTCCTATGAACTGCTTGCTTCAGGTCCTTCCACAAAATTTCAATTGGATTAAGGTCCGGAATTTGACTTGACCATTACGAAACATTCGCTTTGTTCTTCTTTATCCATTCTTTGGTAGAAAGACTTGTGTGCTTGGGGTTGTTGTCTTGCTGCATGACCCACTTTCTCTTGAGAATTAGTTCACTGACAGATGTCCTGACATAACTATAATTCATTGTTCCATCAGTGATGGCAAGCTGTCCTGGTCCAGATGCAGCAAAACAGGCCCAAACCATGATACCAGCACCACCGTGTTTCACAGATGGGATAAGGTTCTTATGCTGGAATGCAGTGTGTTCTTTTCTTCAAACATAACGCTTCTCATTTAAACCAAAAAGTTCTATTTTGGTCTCATCTGTCCACAAAGCATTTCTCCAGTAGCCCTCTGGCTTGACCGCATGATCTTTAGCAAACTGCAGACTGGCAGCAATGTTCTTTTTGGATGCACCATGCACACCGTGGCTGTTCAGTGTTCTCCTGATGGTGGACTCATGAACATTAGCCAATGTGAGAAAGGCCTTTAGTTGCTTAGAAGTTAGCCTGCAGTCCTTTGAAACCTAGTGGACTTTTACACGTCTTGCTTTTAGAAATCCTAGAGATTCACATACTTTTGCCACTCACAGATATGTAATATCAGATCATTTTCCTAAATAAATAAATGACAAAGTATATATTTTCATCTCATTTGTTTGATTGGGTTCTCTTTGTCAGCTTCCAGGACTTGTGTGAAACTTTGATTATGTTTTGTGTCATATTTATGCAGAAATATAGAAAATTCTAAAGGGTTCACAAACTTTCAAGCGGCACTGTATATACCAATGCTCCAGTCTATCAGACAGTGTGAGAGTGTGTTCAGAGAAAACAGTACCAGCAGAAAGAGGAGGACGAACAGCCAGCATTTAGTGGGCGTGTGAGAGAGAGAACCCAGACAGAGAAATAAATTGGTTGAGTTATGGAATGAACTGCCTTAGGTTATCATGGCTAATATTGTAATCTATATGCTCTCACTGTGGAGTCTCATTCTACTCAACCCGTCTGGAACTGCCAGCCTGAGATATTTATCTATCTATCTATCTATCTATCTATCTGTCTATCTGTCTGTATTTTATCTGTCATTCTATCTATAGGGCAGGGTGTTATATCAAAATGGGTTGGCCCTTTTCCGGCTCCTTCTTCGGGCAGCAAGGCAACTGTCTTGCCTTTGTACTGTTTGTGTGCCTCCTCCAGAAACAGAGTTGGGAAACGGTGGTCTAGAATGATCCTTGTGCTTCAGAACCAAATAGGCTGCATGTGTTTGTGGTATGTGTTTGAAATAAACAGAAATAATCATGACTCGGTCTGCTCATTGCGTGAGAGCAAATTACTGTAGTATGGATGACTTCAGTCTCACCACTTACGTTATTTTTGAGAAAGAGGAAGGCAAAAATTAAGAAATGGAAAGAACCTTTCACCCAGTAACATATACATCATCCAAAAGCCAGAGATACTATTTTAATAATGTACGTTCAGCCAGTTGTAATCGCAAAATAAACCGCAACAGGATGATCTGCGATCTGAAAGCTTAATTACACGGCTAATTGCAACAGAAGTAAATAACTGGACAAAATATTTCAGCTCACAAAGCCTCCATGAAAGGAAACTCAAATATTATAACTAAACATTCAGGGGAAATGCTTTTAAAATAAAGATTGAAGAGTTTTTGGAAGCTTAGTGAAAGCCATGTTGAAATCATGCAACCGTGGTGTAGATTGTTTATAGCCAGCGTTTAGCTTAGATTGAATATTTAATATTCATGTAGTGCTCTATACTAGACCTCAGAATGTAGTCACTGTCCAGTCAGAACAAGTATTCCAGAGAGCTGTGTAATAATTACTTTAAAATGTTTGCATTTTTTTAAATTAAACTTTTCATGTATGCTGATAATATCAAATGAAATATTAAAAAAGATATGGAAGAGTTCTCACTAGAGCTGTCAGACATCCGGATCCACTATTGACACAGGCAACATCCTTTGCGAGTCTTTATTTGTGCTATTCCCTTGCAAAGCTTTTTTTAT